TATTACCCTAAAATGGGTCAACATTAATTATGCTCCGGTATTAAAATATTAATTCGTTTACAAACTAATCGTGTATTTATTTTACAATGCGAAAATACATTTCTTACTCGTTCAGACTTTTGAACATCAAAACTGGTTATTCCCTGTACAAATTTAACAAACATTACATCAAACATTTTGTTACTGTGATTTGAAGGATTAACTCTAAGGACTATTCTTTTGAAATTCTATTTATACTTATTATTATATAATATTCTTACAATCACAAAGTTGTTTTGTAAACAGTTTCACTGTTTATGAAATATGGTATAGCGTCAAATCAGGAATTGCTATGACCGCATAAAGCGCCTACATCAACTTTATGGGTTGATATACAATCAACGGTTATCAATATTGATGCACGCGATTTCCCCACGGCCATGGCAATTTCACATATCCCAAAGACATTTCTTAAAGTTACAAGGGTGTGAAAATATATAAAAGCAAAAACGCTATCGTATCATACAAATTTGGTACAAAATGGTACACTTAGGCACTGTGAGTAAGGCATCTACAGTGAGACGATATGAGGGGATAGAGTAAATAAAACAAGGCATGGAAATAGTTCACAACGATCTAGCAAACTGAACATTGATAATGCTAGGAGAGCTAAGGGCGCAGAAGGAAACAGATACACCGGACTCCACATACATATTGACAGATTATACTAATCGAACAGCTAGACGTATCGATGTTAATTTAATAAGACAATATCGTCTAAAAATAGGGCGGATTGTGAAATAGTGCTATACCAAAATAGGTATATTATCCATTATAATAATTACATTCTTGTTAGTATGTGCAGTTAAAGCTGACATTATTTTTTAACGTAGGTAATAGAAATTGTTCATTGTTACAACGAATAATTAATTACTTCTAATACGTATTAAAATGCAAGAAAACTTCTTCAGATCACACTAACAAAATAATAAAAATTCCCTAACAACAAGCATTCCTTCATATTTATCCACTACAGCAACTAGTTACACCATATTCAACGAATGGCATGGTAATTCCTAAAATTGACTCAAAGTTTTGGTCTGCAAATGAAATTAAACTTTTACTATGTAAAATAAATTAACAACTTGTGTTGACTCGCCGATCAATAGCTTTTAATAATGTGAAGTCTTATATCGCTTTATTAATAAACGAAAAATTAGATTGGACTAGTCATGCAGTGTAATGTTCTTATCACTCATTAGACATTTTGTCCTTGGAAATGAGACATAAGATTCATTAACTACCTATTGAACCGTACATCTACAATCTCTTCTATTGATCGACGTCTCACCCGACTAACTTGTAACAAGCTTGACATCGAGGTTTTCAAATCAATAAGTATTTCCTCTCTTAGGGTCTAGGTGAAAAATATTTTCGTCTGCAATTATTTTTATTTCAAATTTCCATTACTATACAATCATTGTGATCATTAACTTACAGACTGCTTAGAGTGCGAGTGTTATCATAAGAAATTTTAAAGCTTCGTGTGGTACTTTTTTTATACTCAACTCTAGCTAACATTACCTAATTACATACATAACATTCGTTCCTAACGGGACGTGTAAACATATCATGTAAATATCATATGATTCTCATGTATAAATATGTCAATAGATAAAGTAGATTTTACAATACATAGATTAACTTCTGTGATGACACTACGCTTACTAAATTTACAAAGATTCAAGTTCGGATGTCACACTATTATAATATTTTTAAAATGGCACAAAAACTTTTTAGAACACTAACACAGAAGTCAACAGTCGCTTCGTTGTCCTCAACGCACTATTCACACTCCACGTAATAGTTCGCGCACACGACACTGCGCCGGCGCACACTCCCCTCCGCCAATATTAGTCATCCTCTGCCACTAGTATACCTCTACTCACTTACTCTAAATCGACTAACCTTTAAGCTAAACGGACAATGGCACGGATTGCACATTCAATTTTGTCTATATACAAAGAGGATCTGATAACTATCTATACGTAAATTACATTACAAAAAAATCTGAAGATGCTCATCTATAATTCATTAAGTTTAACATTAAATCTTAGGGTGTATTCACAATGTGCAATTATCTCAATAACATCATCATTACGTATAATAGAAGGGTAGTTTAGACTCGGTTGAGACATTAAATTTCGTCGGAGACAGCGAAGGGTGGAACTTTCGGGGCTTCACCCTCGGTTCGGGTGTTAGACCGCGTTCCCGAGTCGCTGAATCGACCGCACCGTTTCGGGAGCACCTCAGACATTCCAGACTTAGAGTATAGAGCACTGTCGGCGCGGTCGACTCGGCAGCGTCCAGAAGCTCGATAGTAGGGTACGTAGGGCTCAGCGGGCTTAGCAGTGCGGGTGGAGGGGCCTCGGGTAGGAGCCGAAGCCCTCGTAGCCTAGCTATGTGGCCCAGCCCTCTATCCGTTGTCGCTTCGTGTGCGGCTGCTCGTAGTCCAGTGGGCCAGCGCTCGAGTGCCGCATGTCCTGCCCGGCCGGCGAGCCCATGTTACTTGATGTTACTGAACCTGCAATCACATCAAGCTCGTTCAATTACCGGCTTTTCTGTCTCTAGCCGAAATTAAGACTCGAAGGCCGATGGCAGCCCCCCAGGGTAGATATATCCTTGAAATAACTGCCTAAGGCCGAGCGGGGCGTAAACACGCGGTAGGGCTGCCCGCCTACAGTATTTTAATTTCATCTACATAATTGAGTTTCTTTCTAGTTTTGCGATTGTAAATATTTAATTTCATATGTAAAAATAAATGTTGTGAATGAATTAGGAAGTGATACATAAAATACATGTTATTTTAAGTATAATATTGAATAAAAAAAATATAGATTTGAGACAGAAAAATATTCACGCCTCCACTGAGACGTACGAAAAGCTTTATTATTAAATTTAATTCATCGCATTCGTTTCAAAAGTTTAACTATTGAAGAGTTCAAGCAACCAAAAACAGCACAATATCGACTATTGCTCTTTGCCATATTAAATTATCTACTTAATTCAATCAAATATTCACAATACAAATTTCACGTTTAAGCACGGCTAACGGCTTAAAAAACAATTACACCGTTCGCTCGTCGCTGCGGCGCATTCGCGACTGGATGCCCACCGGGTGCCGCGTGAACTCGAGTGGCGTAGGTATGACACGCTTTCCGACCGTTTGTATGAAGATAGAATACTGTATAGATAATATTATCGTGGCTGTATGTACGCACCATCGATGACGGCGGACAGGTGCGCGGGCTGCGGCGCGGGCGGCGCGGGCGCGCGGTGCATGTGGTCGGGCGCGCGGGGCGGTGACACGGGCCCCGCTATGATCTCATGCGGCCGATGTGTGGCTGTATGTACGCACCATCGATGACGGCGGACAGGTGCGCGGGCGCAGGCGCGGGCGGCGCGGGCGCGCGGTGCATGTGGTCGGGCGCGCGGGGCGGTGACACGGGCCCCGCTATGATCTCATGCGGCCGATGTGTGGCTGTATGTACGCACCATCGATGACGGCGGACAGGTGCGCGGGCGCAGGCGCGGGCGGCGCGGGCGCGCGGTGCATGTGGTCGGGCGCGCGGGGCGGTGACACGGGCCCCGCTATGATCTCATGCGGCCGATGTGTGGCTGTATGTACGCACCATCGATGACGGCGGACAGGTGCGCGGGCGCAGGCGCGGGCGGCGCGGGCGCGCGGTGCATGTGGTCGGGCGCGCGGGGCGGTGACACGGGCCCCGCTATGATCTCATGCGGCCGATGTGTGGCTGTATGTACGCACCATCGATGACGGCGGACAGGTGCGCGGGCGCAGGCGCGGGCGGCGCGGGCGCGCGGTGCATGTGGTCGGGCGCGCGGGGCGGTGACACGGGCCCCGCTATGATCTCATGCGGCCGATGTGTGGCTGTATGTACGCACCATCGATGACGGCGGACAGGTGCGCGGGCGCAGGCGCGGGCGGCGCGGGCGCGCGGTGCATGTGGTCGGGCGCGCGGGGCGGTGACACGGGCCCCGCTATGATCTCATGCGGCCGATGTGTGGCTGTATGTACGCACCATCGATGACGGCGGACAGGTGCGCGGGCGCAGGCGCGGGCGGCGCGGGCGCGCGGTGCATGTGGTCGGGCGCGCGGGGCGGTGACACGGGCCCCGCTATGATCTCATGCGGCCGATGTGTGGCTGTATGTACGCACCATCGATGACGGCGGACAGGTGCGCGGGCGCAGGCGCGGGCGGCGCGGGCGCGCGGTGCATGTGGTCGGGCGCGCGGGGCGGTGACACGGGCCCCGCTATGATCTCATGCGGCCGATGTGTGGCTGTATGTACGCACCATCGATGACGGCGGACAGGTGCGCGGGCGCAGGCGCGGGCGGCGCGGGCGCGCGGTGCATGTGGTCGGGCGCGCGGGGCGGTGACACGGGCCCCGCTATGATCTCATGCGGCCGATGTGTGGCTGTATGTACGCACCATCGATGACGGCGGACAGGTGCGCGGGCGCAGGCGCGGGCGGCGCGGGCGCGCGGTGCATGTGGTCGGGCGCGCGGGGCGGTGACACGGGCCCCGCTATGATCTCATGCGGCCGATGTGTGGCTGTATGTACGCACCATCGATGACGGCGGACAGGTGCGCGGGCGCAGGCGCGGGCGGCGCGGGCGCGCGGTGCATGTGGTCGGGCGCGCGGGGCGGTGACACGGGCCCCGCTATGATCTCATGCGGCCGATGTGTGGCTGTATGTACGCACCATCGATGACGGCGGACAGGTGCGCGGGCGCAGGCGCGGGCGGCGCGGGCGCGCGGTGCATGTGGTCGGGCGCGCGGGGCGGTGACACGGGCCCCGCTATGATCTCATGCGGCCGATGTGTGGCTGTATGTACGCACCATCGATGACGGCGGACAGGTGCGCGGGCGCAGGCGCGGGCGGCGCGGGCGCGCGGTGCATGTGGTCGGGCGCGCGGGGCGGTGACACGGGCCCCGCTATGATCTCATGCGGCCGATGTGTGGCTGTATGTACGCACCATCGATGACGGCGGACAGGTGCGCGGGCGCAGGCGCGGGCGGCGCGGGCGCGCGGTGCATGTGGTCGGGCGCGCGGGGCGGTGACACGGGCCCCGCTATGATCTCATGCGGCCGATGTGTGGCTGTATGTACGCACCATCGATGACGGCGGACAGGTGCGCGGGCGCAGGCGCGGGCGGCGCGGGCGCGCGGTGCATGTGGTCGGGCGCGCGGGGCGGTGACACGGGCTCCGCTTTGATCTTCACACTGCTTGGAGACGCGGCCGGTGGCGGCGTTCCCCCGCCGCCGAGAACTGGCAGGCTGTTACTGCGCAACGAGCAAACAACAATGTAAACTAGAATATATGACACTTATATTAAATTTAATCCGAGTCCCGGGTACGTATCGCGAATGCGACAACTTTAGCTGGTTTGAATGACAAGAACAGACAGACATCCATATCTCGGGTGTAGTTGGCAGAAAACAGGGAGTCTAAAATGGCGTCATTGGATGGAACATCTAAAGTGTATTAATAACATATGAATTAATTATTCAAATAACTTGAAGAACCTACACTTGTACTTTCTAAATTTATACCAGTGTGAACTCGAGGATCACTAGTGGGTCTTGTTCAAGCATAATTCTTTAAACTTAAAATTTAATATAATAGCGGTCTCTTCTTTTTCATTCTGTCACGATTTGTACTGCTTTGTACTATCGCGAGCTCCTCCGTGCTTCGGAAAGCACGTTAAGCCGTTGGTCCCGGCTGCATCTGCAGTTTTCAGCACCCACCAATCCGAACTGAGCCCGCGTGGTGGGTCATAGCCCAATCCCCTGTCCCATATATTGTAACATCACTTTTTTATATAAATAATTTAACCAATAATATTAAATTTTTATTAATAGCGCCATCTATCGTCACTCACATGAATCATCGAATGCAGTGGCACTTTAAATAAAGCAGGATATGTCCTTGTCAAGAGAATATGACAGTAGCTCTTGGAATGTATGATAGATGGAGTTGATGTATAATTCGCATAGTAAAAAGAATGGAAGTGACGTCATATTAATAAAACTGCTATCACATCCCGTTTTAGATTTACAGATTCATGACATAATTAAATATCACCCCGGTTGATTGAGCTAGAAGATAACAAAATACATTTATGATTGAGGGGATCACTAAAACTTGACTGTGATAACACTTAACATTTAAGTAGCGACTAGGTCAATGTAGATCAAACTAACATTTACTGTATTGTCTAAGGTTTCAATGTTTGTGTTAAAATTATTGTTTTGATTACAGTTAGTAAGTACTGATATTTTAATATTAGAACAAGCACTATCTTACAAATATTATAAATGCGAAACTTTGTATGTTTGTTGCTCAATCTCGCAAAAACCACTGAACGGATTCGGATGAAATTTGGTACGCATATAGCTTATGACCTGGATTGAGATATAGGATACTTTTTATTGCGGTTAAGTGATATTTTCCTGAAGGATTTTCGAAAAGCTAAAGTTAACACGAGCGAAGTCGCGGTCGACCGCTAGACTGTTATAATTTAGTAGGTACCTATTGAGCATTTAAAAATTTAATTAGTGTACTCGATAAAATAAATAACAAACAAACACAGCTCTTTCATGCATTGCACACGATAGCCGTAAGACAGTGATATCAGAAAAAATAATTTAATTAGGACCCTGCGTTACGATAGCGGTGATATAAACATATATTATATAGGTATGTATGTAGGCGTTAATAATTATCTACGTCCGACGACTCATGCGCAACGATTGATTGTGAAAGTGCACTCTTCGAGCAAACATTGTAATAATACTGGCATACAAACACACACCACGCGCTTATGATTTGTGTTAATTAATGAGACAAACAGTATTCATGTCTAAAGAAAAAAAAACAAAACTCAACTTTTCCTCTGTTAATAGATTCCTTCAGATGAAATTGGAGTAGGTTACATAATAGTAATTACTACAAGAAACATAGTACCCCGCCGCCTTTTGATGCTGATTGTAAACAGATTGTAATGCTGTTTTTACCCGACTGCGCAGTGCAAGAGCGCGAAGCGCGACGCGCAGACAGGGTATAGTGTTTAACAGTCTATATATGTATGTTTGTTCCTTTGTGGCACACTAGAGACCAAACGCCTATACCGATTTTGATGATTCATACATCAATCGATTCGTCTCAATCATGGGAGTGCTACTAAAGATATGATAGTAATCAAAATTCAACATGGGCAAAATTAGGCGCCATATTGTGACGAAGTAAAAATAATAAGTTGACAAAATATGTCGAGTGGGGTATCACTGTCTAGATAATCGAAAATCATGTTTAGGTTCCTAACACTATTTTTCATTTTATATGATTGTTTAGGATCTACAACGCTTTAAAGTTGTATATTAACCACTTGCGCTTTTATTTCAATCTTACGTTTGTATGGATCTTTGTTACTCTTTTTACCTACATATTTTTCCACGGATGGTTTTTCTAAGTTCAATATTACATGCTCGAGAACAAAATAATCTAACATCGATTAGAAGCGAGAGCAGGTCACTTGTGTAATGTTTAACTAATTCACACGTATTTCGTCTAATGTAGAGTCAATATTATGACATAAGGTAGCTTATATCAAACTGTAAATACACCTTTAGCTCAAGCGCGCACTCGCGGCCAGGCCGCAGCGGTCAAGCTGATGTTACAATACATACATATTGCTGAATTTTGTGGCTACAATATTCGCGACCTGGGGGCCAATCGCCTAACGGAATTGCTTTGGAAAACGCTAACGCTTACGATTTTATTTTGTTATTTCTAGCCGCCTGAGGTATTCAAATGCCTCGCGCTCTTTCTTTTTCTTTTGCATTGGTAATAACAATATTAAAAAAAATGAGCGTGAGGTATTCGAAAACCTCAGGCGTCTAGAAATAACAATATAAAATCGTAAGCGTTAGCGTTTTCCAAAGCATTTCCGTTAGGCGATTGGCCCCCTGGGGGGTATTCGCCTAAAGGAAATGCTTTGGAAAACGCTAACGCTTTCGATTTTATTTTGTTATTTCTGACCGCCGCTGCCGAAGGTTTTCAAATACCTCACGCTCATTTTTTTTTTAATATTGTTATTACCAATGCAAAAGAAAAAAAAAGAGCGCGAGGCATTTGAAAACTTCAGGCGGCTAGAAATAACAAAATGAAATCGTAAGCGTTAGCGTTTTCCAAAGCATTTCCTTTAGGCGAATGGCCCCCAGCCTGTTGCGGCCCGGCCGCCAGTGCACGCTTTGGCTCATTAAGTTCAGCAAAAATAAGAATAATATTTTTTTTGATGTTACTTATATTTCCAATAATCTATGGAAAAGCTTTCTTGAAACCTTATGACTGGTTTTTCCGTTGCTTTTTTTTTATTTTTTTTTTTGTTGTTTTTATACTATCCCTTAATAAATTACTATATGCAATAGTAATAAATAATCATTCGACGTTAAAATATGTAATGTCATAATTCATAGTTATAAAAAAATCACAACTATTGAGAGCAAAGTGAAAGGCCAGCGTCAATGGAGCCGGTACATTTATGTATAAGTGAGTTTAGTTTTAATCACTCAGCCAACAGCTCCGGTAGCCGTGATCGTCTAGTGGTTAGGACCCTACGTTGTGGCCGTAGTAACCCAGGTTCGAATCCTGGTCACGGCAGTGGTAACACTGTCATGGCGGAGCTTTTTTATTTATAACAGAAATTGTTTATTGAAGCAATCCGCACTGTACTTTAAATTTTGCTTGCAACATTGAAATTATATCGTTATTTGTATTTTATATTATCATTATGATTTTGTAAATTTATACTTATACTTTTAAATAAGAATCTTCAACATAAAAGCCCACAGTTTACTTTTCGTTGCAAAGTTAATATATCTCTCTATGAAAACTCTATAAAACTCTTATCTCCATTTTTTTTCTATTGTGGATTTTGTCGCTAATTAATTTACTTAATTTTTTTGGTAATTTTATTATTTTTGTCTTATACGACTAATCGATGACTCTCAGCGCCATCTACAAAAACCTCTAAGAACTTGTTAGCAAATAAAACGATTTAAAAAGACGGCGGACTCAGCGAGTGAGTGTAAAAAGTGAACGTAATTTGGTCGTTAAATTCAGGTAGTATCGCAACAGCTCCGGTAGCCGTGATCGTCTAGTGGTTAGGACCCTACGTTGTGGCCGTAGTAACCCAGGTTCGAATCCTGGTCACGGCAGTGGAAACACTGTCATGGCGAAGCTTTATTTTTGCGCGTTTTGTAGGGTACTAAATCACCACTCGAAACAAAATAAGGTTACGTCGTCGTCCATACATCATTTTAAGAGTTTTATTTTAATATTTTTTTATTTTATATTGTTTTATAAGTACCTTGTATATCTTGAAAACATCTTCGCTGGGACTATTTTAGACAAGAGGTATAGGTGTTATTTAGTTCTTTAGAGTATTAGATCTATGAAAAATATTAGTTGGGAACCTAATGGAAATAATATTAAAAGATTCGAAGACTTTTATGATATCTCCGTGTCTGAATAAAGGCCATCGACCGACCAAATAACGACATCCAAGTGCGTCTTAATCTTTTGAAATGACTCCCAACATCATGACAGCGGTTAGTAACCGTAAACATGTAAACAAACATACCGGGAGTAAACAATTCGGTGACAAAACAAAACAATTGAAACCTATTACATCTATCCTTAATCTTAATAAGCAATTTTAGAGATAGACCTTATACAGGGTGTTACAAAAATACAAATAAAGCTTGAAGGACGTTGAAGTACATCATATAAGGAGTCGTCTCTAATTTTCTTAAAATATTTGCATGAAGTTTTAATTTAACTTTTTATAAAAACAGTTATTTTTAATGATTAATAAAAATATCGATCATTTGAAGACACGTCACTTCACGTTCGAGGATCATTAAAAATAACTGTTTTAATAAAAAGTTAAAACTACATGCAAATATTTTAAGAAAATTAGAGAAGACTCCTTATACCATGTACTTCAACGCCCTTCAAGCTTTATCTGTATTTTTGTAACACCCTGTATTAACGATACTTAGAGGAAGCATTAAGATGTCAAATTAGACTCCACCAATTTGTGAAACAATTACAATGCGCCGGAGCAAAAAACAAAACAATATGCAAACATAATACGAACTGCGGAGTTTTTGTGTCGAACCCGATACGATTTCAATTTGGCACTAGTCGTGTGGAACGGTGCAATTCTTTCGGTCACGCTACGATCCCCGGAAGACCGCGCAGTAAAAGTAGACCTTGGCGAGTACTGCCAATCCCTCCTCAGTCGCCTTACAGAGGCATGGCAGCGGGGGCCGAGGAGGGTCCATAAAAACTGGTCGATTCATTCCGCACTTCGATAACTAGTCGCATTTCTACAACGCACTCAACAGCTCCGGTAGCCGTGATCGTCTAGTGGTTAGGACCCTACGTTGTGGCCGTAGTAACCCAGGTTCGAATCCTGGTCACGGCAGTGGTAACACTGTCATGGCGGAGCTGGTATTTTTTATGTTTTTCCGTGAACAGGCGTTAAGTTTTCCTTGTTTGTCGGTTGACTCGATTGATTGGGTTGACCCCGAAATGTTTGAGTCATTTAAACCGTGACGTAATTTTAATAGGACGGAGAAAATTGTACGCAAACATTTGAGTTGTATAGTATCAAAGGTGGCAAAGTCAAAAAAAAACTGTTTAGTCTCGTCTTTAAGGGAGGATTTTTATAATTCACATTCATCATAACTACAAATCGTATTGAAATGTCAATATTTTATCCTCCCTTAAAGACGAGACTAAACAGTTTTTTTTGATTTGCCATTACGACTCATTTTGCTGGGTTGATTGATACATTTCACGAAACTTAAGTTAGCAAGCGCAGTTACAGAGAAGCACGCTGAGACTGGCAAGCGCGATAAACGGAATGTAATAAGTAATCAAAATTGGGCACAGACATGTACCTGTTGTGCTGTAGCGTCTGCAGCTGGTGTGCACCCCATGATAGTCCGAGTCCCATGTCCGATGTCATGCTGAAGTCCTGTGGTCCGAAGTTGCCGATTCCCGAGTAGCTAAGCGGTGTCTGAAACGATAAAGAAAGAAAAGATGTTTTCAGTAGATTGTCATAAGAAGGTCAAATAAAAGACTTGGAGAACTTTTTGGAGTCACTTTTGCAGTTTTGTTTTTCTTGTTAAAAATTGTGTTGTGGCGGATGTTACTGTCTAATAATGGTGGATTATTAACCACTAAGTGTTCGGAAACATGCACAAGTGTTGGCAAGTGAAACAAAATAGCGGAAAGTGTCTTTCGACGTTCCCTTAAGAAGTCTTGGACGGGGAGGTTCCAGTAAATCCCCACACTTTTACTGAAACATGGGGGAAAGGGGGATTGACTTGACTGCCACTTACTTTGACTTGACTTAATACTTTGACCACGAGTGCTATAGTATTTGTATACCTACATTTAACACTTGACATTGGCTAAATGCACAAGCCGTGCGAAGCCATTTAGAAAAAAAAGACGGAACATTTTTTTATGGATTCTTTAGCAACTTTTGACTGTTCTGATTATCAGCTCATACATATACGCGTAGATTATATGCTTCAGCAATCTTTAGAAAAACCATCGACAGTAAAACTCATTATATTTTGTTATTTGACTTCCTGTTGGAATAAGAGGGAAATAATCAAATCATATGATCCGGCTAGGAATTTTCCTGAATGATTGATAGTAAAGGCTTGTCCACAAAGGCTGTTGTACTTTAGAAAAGTTTATTGTATATTTTTACGAAAAAAGCTAACATTTATATAGCCCCCTGAGGTTAAAAGGCTACCCATAGCTAATAGATAGATCCTTGGGATACCCGAGTATTAAGCACGTTTTGCCGTGTCCGTGGATCTGTTTATACTTACTTAGCGACAGATACATAACACTACCAAAAGATGGAAACGAACAAGTTCCCAATTCCATCTAAGGCCCGTATTACAGAATGACAACTAAGTGTTGATCTTTACTTGAGTACAGTTAGAAAGGGATGTCGCTATGTGCTTCATATAGCGACATCCCTTTCTAACTATGCTCAAGACTAGATCAATCACTGAGAATCTTTTACGGGCCTAAGTAACGGTATTGCCGTGTCTTGACGGTACAGAATAAAACATCATTTATGTTTCGCACACATTGGCGTAACGTTTACAGGCATTCTCATGAGGTTTCGAGCAGGATTATTTCGCTACTATCTCCAAGAGTGGACTTATTTATTTTTGAGGGCGATGAGAGCCGTTCTTTTGACTACTTTCATAATCAAACTTTATGGTGGTAGCATAGATAGCAGCAAGAGCAACTATGTGCAGGTTTTGGCGCGCTAATAGAAAACTGCATAGACGCCATTGAGATTAAATCGCACTGTATCATTGAGGGGGAGAGGAGCTCGATGGCGCAGCTGGTTAGCGCATTCGGGTGCGATCGTTGAAGTTAAGCAACTTTCGCAAAATCTTCTATCTCGAGTGTCTCCGTGCTTCGGCAGGCACGTTAAGCCGTTGGTCCCGGCTGCATCTACAGTCGTTAGCACCCGCCAATCAGCACTGGGCCCGCGTGGTGGGTCATGGCCCAATCTCCCTATTCCATCCATAATAATAATATTTATTTAACAATAGTAAAATGATACAGGAACGTTAATTTTACAATAAGCATCTTACCAATTATATATTCAAAACAGTGTAAGTCTCAAACTCCCAAACTAGGACATGTCCTGTATCTCAGGAGTCAGATCAGATCAGGATCCATAGGGAAGGCCTGCGTCGAAGCAGTGGGGACATTAATAGGCTGATGATGATGATTGGGTTGGCTCACCTCTCCAGTGTAAGATAGGTCGTCTTGGGGCGGCGGCATCGTGGTAGGCAGCACGATCCGCAGGTTGTTGTGTCGCGGCGAGTGGTGGGGCGGCGGCGCGTGCGCATGCGCGTGCGACTTGTGCGCGTGGCGGTGCGGCGACGGCGCGGGGCCCGGCGACGGCGACGGGGTGCACGCCGCGCCCAGCGGCGACCCCGACCCAGGATACCCGTTAGACATTTCAAGCATTCCGCCGCTGGGATATACTGTGCGAAAAACCGATATTTATTTGGAGTTTACTCCTTAAGAATCGATTTGCATATATAAGGGGCCCGGTATGAGAAAAGGTAAGGTAAAGGTATGAAGAGCGGAGTCAATCGATGGTGCAAGTGGTTAGTGCGTTCGGCTGCGATCGTTGAAGTTAAGCAACTTTCGGAGTGGTCGGTCATTGGATGGGTGATCAAAAATTCACTATCTCGAGCTCCTCCGTGCTTCGGAAGGCACGTTAAGCCGTTGGTTCCGGCTGCATCTGCAGTCGTTAGCACCCACCAATTCGCACTGGGTCCGCGTGGTGGGTCATGGCCCAATCTCCCTATTCCATCCATAACGAAGGCCTGTGTCCCAGCAGTGGGGATATTATAAGGCTGATGATGATGATGATGATGATGATGATGTATGAGAAAAATGTGAGGAGTAAAATCTATCGATGAATGATCTCGTTACGTTTTTGGTGCGCATCCTATGTCGCGCAACTTTGACAATCAAAGATGACGGATTGACATTAATATTTTTTTTAAAATCTGAACTGAATTTAGATATTGTTTCTGATAGAGCAATGGGGACAACGAGGTATGGTACAACCATTGATGCGGTATTTTCAAGATTCGTGAACCACGTATCTACGAACGTCCATGTGTCTATGTATATGTCTTATGTACTATTATAATTTTTTTAATAAAATTTTCATATTATCTAATTTAATATTTTAAAAATTCTAAAAATTATCACGCCCTGATGTAATTTTTTTTAATACGCTTTTATTAGCTTTTGGTGTATCTCTACTTGTAACCGAGTTCTTCGGACTTGATTTTGTTTTGTGTCTGTTCAAAGACAATCGTTTTTAGAGTGTAAACTCCGGTCGTGCGTCGGAGCTGACAAACACATTTTTTTTTATACAAAAGGTCCGATAGATGACTTCACCCCACTTGATGCTAAGTGAAGGTGAAGTCCAGACGCGAAGATAGCTGATACAGCAGTTCTACCTGCCACACCAGCTATCCTCTACCGGCCTGCATGTTACTTCTTCACGCTTCTTTTAAAGGATCCCAAGTTGTAAGAGGGAGGGAACTATGGAACTATAACCATGATTTTGATTAGATTTTATTTATATAATTTTATTTTTTAAAGTATTTAACTACTCGATGTTTAAATCTAAAGGCATCTACGAGGAGAAGCTCTTGCGAAATCATTGAAGTAGCCAAGTGTTGACTTTAGTATTCGGGAAGGAAAAAAAAACAGGATTAAAAAATAAATAAAATCTAATCAAAATCATGCTTTTTTGATTTATCTAGGTATATGTTCATTGTGAAACTGATTGGAATATAAGAGTTTTTTGAAAATGAGAAGGCAGGCACTATAGTATAATTAAACCCCAATGAAAACTTGAATCATATTCTTGTATACTCCTATTCACTAAGGTAAGTATGGTGTATCTGTTCATATACAGTTAGCGAAGTGTAAGCAATAGGTATATACTCACCAGAATCAGTTTCCGAAGAGGATGGCCGTGGACTTATGGAGGTATGCATTTGTGGACTAGCTTGTAACAGTGACTGGTCGTATCCGCCGACTGGGACGCTTACGGGGAGATTGTAGTTGCTTCCCGTCACGCCCACACCTACTCGACTCCCGTTCAATTGGTTCCTTTGCATCATCATTTGGAATTCCTCATCGATCTTCGAGTATTTGGCTTCGGTCCTTGGCGTCAGATTGTATTCCGGTTCGGCTTCAGGGCTGTCGGGTGACATCACTCCGTTCTTATGCTCTTTCTTCGTTAGGGCCTGCAAGTGTCAGCGAAAGGAGCTCAGGTGGCTTGACGAGCCAAAATTATGTAACCTCTACTGTATTAATTTTGGCATGCTTTAAATCAACATAACATATTAGAAGGCACCCTCTCTACACACCATTAGTCTTATCAGTGATCACAACATTTATAAAATATAGTTTAAAATCTCGTTACACAAGTATGTGTAGTGGAGGGTTCAAAATATAAAAAAAAGTGCTAACAAAACTACAGTGTTCACTAAATTGTATTTGGGAAACTTTTTAGCGTACATATGTGTGTAGTGTCGAATGCAATGATGCAACTCTGACTTTACCCTAACATCGACTCGGAGTCAGGTAGGCGCGGTTAATTCAAATAAACACAAAAATATTTACAAAACCCATGCTGTACAAGGAAAAAATAACATAAACACTGGGGTGTCTAGTCATAAATTGTTAGTATAAAAAACAGGGTGTCTGGTGTACTTTTTGTTTTCTTCAACAGGAAATTAAACATGCTGGTACCTACTTCATCGGGCTTATGTTTATCTATACCGGTGCCTTTAAACTAATCTATGTATTAACTATTGCCAGGTTTAATCACATATTTTGAAATAATCTAATTGGAGATATCGATGTGACGGTTGGTTTTTGCCAGGTAAGTTTACGACATATAATTCAATAGGGATTGCAGAAAACAAGGATTGGTTTAGTAAATATGAATGCATTAGGTTCGCTTGTAAGTAGGAAGCACTCGGTTAATGGGATAAGTCAAGTTTGCTGGACATTGCATTGCGATCACGGGCACACAGATGACGCCGTACTTAATGTACCTCGATGATGTTGCGGTTGGTCAGCGACTCATGTGGCTCGTTGTATTCAGTATATTTAAGAAGAACCTGCAAACAATTAAACCATTATAGCAATGCACCAACATCACAGAACTCATATTGCATAGTCTTATATAGAGGTCTTAAAACTTTTTCCTACTACAATCAGAATGATTGATAATGCATCAAAACAGGTATTCCAAAAAATATGTTTTTAGAAAATTATATTGATGCTTACTTTATCCATGTCCGTGCTTGCATATTGGTAGAGTTTGTTGTTCGAGCTAAATATGATGAGTGCTATCTCACAGTCGCAGAGCACGCTCAATTCGTAGGCCTTCTTCATTACACCGAATTTACGTTTGTTGAACGTCACCTGAAATCAAAGAGACAACGTTACTCTTAGCTGCCTACTTTAAAGTATAATAAATAATAATCAACAGATTGAGACGTGGAGTTGTATTTTTTAAGAACAGTGTAAGTAAAATAAATTTGGAATTTTAGAATATCTTCCGCAATTGCTTGCACAAAGTAATTTTATTACATTTTTATTTTAAGCATATATTGCAAAATTTCTAGTCTAATAATTGGACGGGGTTGATTTTTTTTCTAGTAGAATTAATTGAATGCTCATAATTAATGTCTCAACTCAATTACAGTAACAATGACTTCAGGATATAATGGTAATGTGCAAACAGTAAATACCAAAGATATGTTACAGCTTGGTCATTAACCGCATCCTCCCACTTAATGATTTGTTGAAAACATTGAGCATTACTCACTTAGCATCTATGTTTTAACTTATTCTAATAATTTTAACTGCACAAAAATTGGAGTTCAAATTGCTGATATTCTTGTATATACATACAAATTAAAAGCCTGTGATACAAAATTCACATATTTTGTCTAAAAGAATTAGCCAATTTCAACAGACCAATTGAATTTAAGATTCATTTAATTTATTTTAGTTCAAACATAATGTTATCAGTTCCGACCATAATAATAATCTTTTATTGGATGTACGCACTTAAATTATTACAACGTCTGCACTGTTTCACTGGTCATGGCCATCCATCTATCGTACATTATTACTGGAACACATTGTGAGCCCTATGTGTCATCAAAACAACGAACATTTAGAACTCAATATTCCAGATCATTAAAAGCTTTGTTTGCGCGGCAGTTAATCCACTTTTTCCTTGTCCGTTGATTATGATGAGTAGTCAACGTTTTAGCTGTTAAAGATACTACAATTTCAGTTAAACCGTTTGCGATGACTAGGTTGACGTCATAACAAAGTACTGTATTTACGATCTCGATCTAATATTTGCGGATTCCACTTACTTATACCTTCGAAATTTAACATCACTTATGGGATTAGTGTTTAATTAATAAGATAAGACGGAGGAGGCGGTTACAGACATTACTCAGACGGTAGAGACCTTGGTCGAAAGCAAATTGACCTTCGCAACTTTCATTTCAAACGTCTGCCTTCCCTATTGTTATGCCAATCATGTCTGAGCTTCAGCAGAGTCACCTAATCGTAAACTTACAGCGAATAAGCCTCTGTTCAGTTTAGCTTCACGAGGTCTTCTTAGACTGGACGGGGGTGTACTGCGTAATCGTATAATTAATAAATTACCAACGAGACCGGTCATTGCCCTTGACGATAGTGTTTTGCAAAGGGAGCTCACTGATATGTCCATTCGTTGGGTCAAAGCGAGTACGAAGGTCATTTCTCTCTATTAACACTGTGTGTTAATTACTATTTGTGTTGAAAGTGATGTCGATACTGGTAAAAGTGAACGCAATTTGTTATATTTTTTGTCAGATTTAATATTTGAGTTGAAATAAAATAATGCGTAGTTTAGAAATTGCCTTAGATTAACGGTTATTTAAGGTTGGCAAAAAACATAGTTGTTACAATAGCAATTAAAACGTCAATGATAAGCCGGTTGCCTAAATTAGACATATTGTAAATGAAATGAATTAATGAAACTTTTGCCAATTGGAAAAACTATTAACATTACTGTGCATATAAATCAAAAGCAGCGTTTTATGATCAAAATAAAACCAACAATCCCAAAAATTACTTAAGTAATTATCTGTTTTAATGGTAATGTGACATAAAAACGAAATGCGACTCTTATTTTCATTGAAAGTAATAATTCCTCTAGTCGTTATTTGTTTTTGATTGTTAGCGAAGCAGTCTTATAACTTAAGACATTACCTAACAAAGCAATAAATTTACGAACCTGCCGATTCCGTTCGTCCGTGATCCGGGATATTTGTATTTTTTTCCGACCCATAGTGGCAGCAATCTTGGAGGGGGTATGTGGAGCTTGGGTAAGAATAAAAGTTGCCTATGGGCTGGCTGCTACTACGGACATCAACAGCTGCTACCTGAAACCAAATGAAAAAACTTTTTTTATTAATAATTCAAGATGTTGGTCATTTGATCCGAATTCTCAATATTTTAAACGAATCGATGATATTATTGCCCAAGAAGAAGTATTAAGTGAAAATGTTTGAAATTCCGACTTAAAAAAATGGTTATTGCCAGTATTTATAAAATCCTGACTATGAGTCATATTTTACATAACCATGTAAGAAAATGTTTACCCTAGCTTGCAGGACTAGAAAAAATGAGGTCGGCTACGTTGATAGTGGCGTCATTATGTAAATCAATGTGACCCGAGCTTCGCTGTAGGCATTATGGGCAGCCTGTAATTGTTGACAGCCTTTGGAATAGTCCGAGCGTAATATGTATTTAGCACATCAAACATGTCATGATAAAAACATATTTTTTTTTGTTTGAGTTTTAATGTAAGTTCAATCTATAGTTTTTTTGTGTTACTGGAACTTTTCATGCAGACTTGTGAGTTCAGAAAAATAATAAAATTTATAAGTTTTTTTTTAAATTCTTAAACGGAGTTCTATTTAAACAAAACTGTAATGGAATCATAGAGATAGCAATTAAATTAAGTAAGGACTAAGAGAAACAAGTCCAATGTGTAAGTTAAATATTTAACGCCGTGTAGCATTTATCGATTGCTTGAGCAATGGTACAAACACGCACTAACCTTGAACTCTGAATAGCTAATAACTAGGTAACATGCCAGTCATGTTGACAAAAACCTCAATTGAAGATAATAATATACTTTCATAGTTTGAAACTTGGGTTTGTTTTTTTTACACATATATATATATATATTACTAGCTGTCCCAGCGAACTTCGTACCGCCATATAAAATAGGGGTTGGTGGTAGAAGGGTGAAAAGTTAGGGTTGTATGTATTTTTGTATGATGTATCATAAAAAAAATAAAAAAAAAATATCTAAAATTAAAAAAAAATTAGGGTGGATTACCCTTAACATTTAGGGGGATGAAAAATAGATGTTGTCCGATTCTCAGACCTACCCAATATGCACACAAAATTTCATAAGAATCGGGAAAGCCGTTTCGAAGGAGTTTAACTACAAACACCGCGACACGAGAATTTCATATATTAGATATAGTCAGGTAGGCAAATGACTACACCATCTGGTGTTAAGTGGTAATATAGTCCAAACGCGAAGACATATATAATTTTTTTTGTTCAAAAAAAAATTTTTTTAAGTGAAGATATCAGTTTGGGCATTTGGTTTTTGAAAAAACCTAGAGAATATTTGGTGATGTATCTTAGCATTTTAAGTTTACGAATTTGCTAATTGAATAGTTGAACCATTCAACTATCGAAATGATAAAATTTTTAAGACCAATCCAGAAAAAATACCAGTTACACTGACTTTGCATGTTGATTATCTTTTTGTTGAGAAAGTAAATATTATTGCCTACTGTTCTAATGAGTTATAATTATAGTAAGAGTCAATCGGTTTCTTCTAGGCAAGCGCGTCCCACCATAGGGTACGGCCAGAGTGCACTCAGATTCAGATTCAGATTCAGATTCTGAAAACAAGCGCGAGAAATAAACAGTGTAGTCTAAGCAGGTTGCCTGCTTTTTCTCGCGCTTTGTTTTCTGAGTCTGAATCTGAATCAGGAGTGCAATCTGGCCGTACCCTTCGACTACACTGTTTATTTCTCGCGCTTGTTTTCGGAATCTGAATCTGAATCTGAGTGCACTCTGGCCGCACCCTTAGGCTGCTACGTCGCTTTTCATCAGTCGCGTGGCCGTAAAGCGTAAGCCTATTTTATGTAAAAAAAAAAAAAAAAAAAGTTTGAATTAAGATTTATAACAGTAATTATAGTCGTGTTATATTTTAATAAAAGAAGGTAGGCTTTATTAATGCTCACCACGTTTATGGGGTTGTGATTATATCTTTGTGTCAGAAAGTCAACTGTTAAATTATGAGAGTATTTTATGTTCCGTCGGTTTAGGAAAAAGCAACATTTTTGCAGTTGTTACGCAATAAGCTTCTATATATTCCAGAGCTGTGCATGCCACATCGCGTGCTAAGGTTGAGGGACATGAGATGTGAGTGATATACCGAGAAAATCTTAGCTCAGCGGACATTTTACCCCCTCAGAAAAGGTTTTGACTATTTCCAATAGAAGTAAATAGTAGATTTATTCTTCCTATTTTAAGTTAATGTAGAATATTTGCAAATACTATTTCTTTCTTTTTGTACTAATCGTTCTACCGCAGCTAGTTTACGGAAAAAACGATAATATGCACAACTTCAAACGCCTGAATCTCTCAATAATGTTCAATAAATTAGATCAAATTAATTACTACGACATCAGAAATATGTTTATGTTGTAACATACTGTATTAGAAAATTGATTTTCCATCTCGTTGATTATCAAAAAAAAAAACATATTACCTCCGTGAGTTTTCCCAAAAAACAGTGCAGGTTTACACGTATTTTGATATTGTATTAAATAGAATTATTATCAAAAACTTTCATAAAACTAATCTACCATTATTGAACAACTAAAATATTTATATATTTTTATTATTAGTTCATTAATAATTATTTTATAAGACTCGAAACATCATCCGTAAAATGCAATATTACTAGTGCAAATCTACCTACGCGCCGATCAGTACGGCAGCGGCGCAATTTTGTAAAAGGGCTCTTAAATGAAGCTAAATCTAGTGTTCTCACTAAAGCGCGACACATTTGTAGCTGAATTTAGTTACAGCACAGAATAAAATTATACTTAAAAAACATTGGTGAACAGGTACAAAATAATAAATTGTCATTTGACATGGTTACTTCGTTAACATTATTAGATTCGAGGCCCAGGGCGAGTTTTTCTGATGTGTGCGTATCACAGCTGCATCTGTACATAATGACCGGTCGCAGGGGGTGAGGTGGAAGGCGGAAGTAGGTAAGGGGGGGGGGTCGCTCTTGCCGCGAATGGATGTCGTCTGCTTCGCGGACGACACCCTTGTCGCGGCGAGAGCGAAGGAGTGGGAGGAGGTGCTCCACCTTGCGTCGGTCGGCACCTCTATGGTCGTCCGACGCATCCGCCTCCTGGGGCTGGAGGTGGCCCTCGATAAAACGAGGGCCATGGCGTTCCATGCCCCAGGACGCAGGACCCCACCGGGGCTCCGTGTCCGGGTTGAGGGGATCCAGGTTCATGTCGAGATGCACATGAAGTATCTCGGCCTGACCCTGGATCCCCGGTGGAGGTTCGAGGAGCATTTTAGGCTCCTCGCTCCCCGGCTGTGCGCCGCCGCAGCCGGACTCGGACGGCTCCTCCCCAATGTGGGAGGGCCGAGGGCGTCGTGCCGTCGACTTTATAATGGAGTGGTAAGGTCGATGGCACTGTACGGAGCCCCGGTGTGGGCGGAGTGCCTTACGTCCCGCGCGAAGGCCCTCTTGCGGAGGCCACAGAGGGTCATCGCGGCCCGGGCCGTGCGGGCTTACCGCACGGTCAGCCACGGGGCTGCCTGCGTCCTCGCAGGTACGCTCCCGTGGGAGATCGATGCCCTGGTTCTGTCCCAGGTGCATCGACACAGGGCCGCGGCGAGAGAGCGGGGCGAGCGGCCCGTTCGGGAGGAGATCGAACGGGTCCGCACCCAGGCGCAGAGGGAGGCTCTGCGCCGATGGGGTGAGGCACTCGCCAACCCAGCCGCTGGCCACCGGACGATCGAGGCGATCCGTCCGGTGTTGGAGGAGTGGGTAGGGCGCCAGCGGGGCAGCCTCACCTACCGCCTGGTGCAGGTACTGACTGGACATGGGTGCTTTGGCCACTACCTGCACCGTGTCGCCCGTCGGGAGGAGCTGCCGCGGTGTCATCACTGCGCCTCCCCCGACGACACGGCCGAGCACACACTGATCGTGTGCCCGGCCTGGCGAAACGAGCGCCGCACGTTGGTGGCGGCGCTCGGCGGTGGAGCGCTCTCATTGCCAAGTATGGTTCGAGCCATGCTTGGCAATGAGAGAGCATGGAAGGCTGCCGCCTCCTTCTGCGAGGTTGTGATGGGGCAGAAGGAGGCAGCGGAGAGGGAGCGGGAGGAGGACGCTCTGGCCGCTCCCCTCCGGCGTAGACGGGTGGGCCGAAGAAGACAGGCGGCTTTGACCGCCGGTCTTCGTCGGCCCTAAGGTGGACTGGGCGCGGCATGCCAGCCGCGCGTCCTTGGTGCCATTCGGCATAGGCCACCCCGTCTGGGGATTACCTAGTACCCTAGAGTAATCCCCCCATAGGCGCGTCGCCCGGTCCACTCGTTGGGCCGGGCCAGCCCTAGGACGCTCTGGTGTAGTGGCGCACGTAGGTGCACCGATCCCAGAGCGCCCTCATAAGGGCCGAGGAGGGTACCAGTGGTTTTTAGTGGGTAGGACCGGCGTTGTTCCACGCCGGGGAGTCCCACACACGTCGCGCGCCTGGCAAGCGCGCGGTATGGTGCGTAAATGCATTTTCCACCGACAACAAAAAAAAAAAAAAAAAAAAAAAAAAAAAGGTAAGGGGGGGGGGGGTTTGCTCAGAGATAGGGTGTCAGGTCACTGTGTTACTGGGTTTGTGCTGCATTTACTTGAACCGAATGGTGTGTCTCCTAATTTGTTCATGGTTTCCCTTCCTTCAATTTTTGGAGTTTACTCCTTAAGAATCGATTTGCATATATAAGGGGCCCGGTATGAGAAAAATGTGAGGAGTAAAATCTATCGATGAATGACCTCGTTACGTTTTTGTGCGCAACCTCATCTGCGCACCTTTCACTTTTAGCCATGGCAACGGATAAAAAACATTAAGTTGACACAAATGTCAATAAAATAAATAAATTAAAAATAGATAAAATCGGAGCAAAATTAATGAAAACAAATAAGTAACAGAATATAGAGAAATGCCGGTAAGTGTCCAG